TTCTAAAGATGATGCACAAGAAAGCCCGCAAACAGTTTGCAGAAGACAAGCAGTCTAAGGACATGGATTACTGGAACCATGTCCTGTGGTCTGATGAGACCAAGATAAACTTTTTTGGTTCAGATGTTGTCAAGTGCGTGTGGCGGCAACCAGGTGAGGAGTACAAAGACAAGTGTGTCTTGCCTACACGTTTTTTTTTCCTCCTGTATGGGACATGGTCTTCAGGAAAAAATAGAATGAAAATAGAATGAATAATATAATAAGTGAATAGAACTAATTTAATGTTTTCTGCCATCTTGTCAATGATTAGAATTAAATTGACACATGTGAAATCAGCAACAGCACTTGGCTGCATTTTACTTGAGATATAGCAAACGGTTTAACTATTATTAAATAGTTCTATAAAACTAGTTCCAAGTAACTAATAGGATGAATACTATCTACTATTTATATACTATTTCAGCCGAAAAGAAGAAGTGATTCCTGTTATAGTCTACCTATGAAAAGCTGTTATTAGAGAGGCATCACACTCTCTGGAGCGGAAGTGGTCTTGCAATGCCAAGCTTGTGCAATGTGGGCTTGCTTTCTCACATTTACACTTATGCACACACACAGATGTATACAGATTGACATATGGTATCACACATGCATGTAGCACAAACACACTTACAATAGACAGATCTCGATGATAGCACACCATTTGGGTCTTTGAATCACGCTTCAGAACACCTGTTGAAAACCAACCCTGCTTCCTTTAGAAAGTTATTTTTGTTCATGCCACTGATAAGAGGTGTTGTCATCTACTTTCATTCTCACTTCACGCATCCTAAACTGCTTGAATGTTTTAGTATTTTAACTCTTTTCACAGGCAACATTCTGTGGAGATGGGAACAGTAACAATCTGTACATCTATACATTTCCCTAGTATCTGTTCCTCAAAGTATACGAAGGAATAAAATCAGATTGTTTTCCTTATTAGTAATATAGCCTGCATTTAGGAATAACATTTTGAAGTTCTGTACAAAAACATTAAAATAGGTCGCCTATACAGTATAAAGGTAAGATGTCAGCTGCAGGTCGAAGCTTTTGCAGCTTTACAGTCAGACCGCAGCAGAATTTCAATTCCAAGCAGCGCAACAGAGGTGAGCTTTTCATTCTCAATATCAATAGACTGCGCATTCATACATTTCAGTTCTGAAACTAAGTGTGAATGTGTAGAAGGTAAGAATTTCTTTAGTTTAGTTTTATTTTCTTTCAGTATAAACAACCAGTCACAAACTTGAAGGAATTTGTGTTTAAATGCCTAAAATTTAAACAATAAAAACTGCCTACAAATTAATTTCATTCAATTTATATTACATTTATGCATTTAAAAGACAAGACGTTCCTTGCATTCAAGTTGTACATTTTATCAGCCCATGGATTCCCTGGGAATCAAGCTCTTGACCGTGGCGTTACTATGCTCTGTTGTTCAAGCAACAGGTTCTTTACAAAACTAAAATGTCAATGATTTGTATTGGACATGTTAGACTAGATAGTGAACAAAAAACAACAGACATGCAAACCGCTTTAATACTGTTAAAAATCATCCCATGAGGCACCACGCCAAGAGTTATGACGGTTTTAATTTAACATTTTAGTCATAAAGAACTACAAAACCTTATCATCCCTCCTGTCTTGTCACCTTACAATGCTTTTTTTAAGGTTTCCTGTGCTTCTTTGGTTTAACATGTTCATAAGAGGGAAGTTGAAAACACAGCACTGTTTAAGCCTGGTTATTGGGACTTGGGAAATTTAGAAATCAGGGACAGGACCGTGATTATAAATGTCAGCTAAATAATACGGTCAAAAAAAAGTACAAAAACAGTCCATTCAACGCACTATACGCATATTGATTAGACAAACAAAAACACAACAAACAAACAATCAAAAATATCTGTAGGCCTACTCAGTGTCTGTTTTTCATTCTAAATTAATGTATTCAAATCATATGTGATGCAAATAAAGCAGTTCATAATAAATCATGTCAGTAAATCCCTACTGCTTTGTGAAGACAAAACTCCCACCACCTATTGATTGGATGTAGTTGTGTCAATATGCTACCCCAGTAACCTAATAATAAGAGAATGCCTGGAAGGCATGTAGTAAATCCATATCTCTATTGTCACATGAAGTGACTGAAACAACTACATGTGCATAAGACTGCATGCATGTGCCGTGGAGTCTCTAAGGAAACAGCACAGGAAGATGAAAGGTGAGAAAAGGTTAAAATACAACCTCCAAACAGATGTGTGGTCTTCATGAGAGCACAAGCACGCATGAGCAGAGTTCAACAACATTAACACCTGTGTAACTCCATGAGAAACTATTATAAGAAAACAATAAGCAATGAGAGGCCATGTACTACAAGGCACCACATAAAGTGGAGTACCTACAACACTCTTACATGTGGTAAAATCACAGTAGCACAGAGACTCATGCCACTTATTGACTTAAAAAAAAAATGACAACACCAATACAATGAAAAAAAAAACACAAATGTTCAATACAGAGCTACAATTATTAGAATTGTATTCCATTTAAGTAATATACTTCATTATACTAATATTAGGCTATGTGTGGTTGTTTGGCAAAGTATGCAACTGGGCATGCGTTTTTTTCGGTCTTTTAACAAAGGCTTTAAATAGCAAATCATCCAATCAGAGTCTGAACTATCAGTTTTATAAAGATACTCAATAGTAAAATAAGCACATAACTCCAAATCTGTGCCAGATCTGAGCTGTGTTTTATATCATTACTTCACAATTTATTTAAAGCAGATTTAATGGATGTGGATGTAACATGCATACTTTAAAGGCAAACTCATGTTAGAAGATTGCTGCTGGGCAAAGATTATAAGTAGGATTAACTTAACCCTTGAGAACACACAGAGACCTATATATAGGGCAAAACACTAACTGCATTTGGGAAATTGTGTGGTGTGAAGTAATGTTAACACTTCTCACACTGGTGTCACTGCTTCACTGTGTTGTTAGCTGCACATATAGTTAGCTAGTAGAAGTAAAACTTACTTAAAATATCTTCAAAGTTATAAGTCAAAAAAGTATTTAATATTTGTTATCTGTATGTATAGGCAAGACGTTAAAGTTTTTTTTTTTTATGTTTTTGAGATTTTTACAAAATCTCTCCAAGGCTACATGTATCTGAGGAGAAAACACAGTAAAAGCATACTGTGAAATATTATTATCATTTCAAATAACTGTTTTATATTTTAATATATTTTCAAATGTAATTTATTCCTGTGATGGAAAAGCTGGATTTTCAGCAGCCATTACTCCAGTCTTCAGTGTCACATGATACTTCAGAAATCATTAATATGTTGATTTGGAGCTTAAAAATCGTAATATCTTAACCTTATTATTAATAACTACATTTTAATTTACTTTAATTCTATATAATACATTATATATTATAATATTAATGATATTATATTGATATTAGACATACTGAATTTTTGTAACTCATGTTTCCAGAGTAGCTTTTATGTGATTATTTTGTAACTGTTTTTATTTAAAATTATATTCTAAATGTAATTGTTTTGATGCATGTTTTCGTCTCTTTTTTGTATTTCAATGTATTTTAGCTTTTTCAGACGCAATTTTGAAAGGTGCTAAAAAAAAGTTTATTATTAATGATAATAATAACAACAACTACATCTACAACATTTTAATATGATCAATTTGATGCTTGCTGAATAAAAATATTAACTTCTTTTTTTTTTTTTAATGATCTGTGAAGGAGGACTACTGAGGTCCTCCATAAGGTCCTCTATCAAATGGCCTCCTCATTATTCAAAATTTCATGCTACTGAAAGATGTTGTTAAATTAGTAGCGTTACTAACGTTTTACTTTTAGTTAGTTACCCCAACATACATAATTTAAATCAACTTCAACATCAACTACTAAACCTGCTTTTTACTTTATGACTGCATAAAACACCAAGTTATCCAGATATATACTGAACAAATGACACTCCTCAGAACCATTAACAACATACACACATGCCCTCAGCCATAAACCTTCAAAAACTGTGCAGTGGGAGTGTTTGAACGGCTTTTCTGTTCCCTACATTAGTCAGTTCCCTACATTCCCATACAGGGCTGTGCTGATGATTCTGCATGGCTGCCGATGTGTCCTATGAGTACAGACAAACAATGGCTGAACCCCTCTGTGAAAACAGTGCAGTCCCTCATAGCACAAAGGATGCTTTACTTTATGTTTAACCCCACATGAGGCCAGATCTTCAGCCACTGCACTTGCCAGGAGGAAGCTACTGGAGTTGGTTACTCCTGTGGCTCAGGAAATTATTGTATTACACTGCCAGACAAAGACAGTCCAAACATTCAGGTTGTACATGGGAAGGTTTGAGAAATAAATGAGCTATTGAAGAGACAGCTACAATTTCAGAGGAAAATTAAACACATTATGTTCATTGCACGGGAAATGTGAATGAATAAGCAAATGTTTATGTAGGGATAGATATTAATGTTCAAAGAAAGATTTGTTATACTGTAGGTAAATCTATTATTCTTTGGCCAAGGTTAAATATAATAATAACACAGATCGTAGATTAGATTCTCAATTTCTCTGGTCAGTGGTACCCCCCCCCCCCCCCACACACACACACACACACATCAATACATACTGTCTGACCCATATTCAGCAACAAAAAAAATTTCAGTCTCATTAACAGTCAGCATTATTTCACAAGTAATTCTGATAATATGATCAATGATTTCAAAATAAAATAACAAACAACAAATTACTAATATTTATTATTAATATCTATTTATATATTAATTATGATTTTAGCTCATGGTGCACATTATTACTATGGTGTTAAAAAATCTTCAAATAAATGTAACTAACAATTTGCTATTGGTCTCCTTCAAAAAATGACTAATAAGAAATTCTTGAAAAAAGATTTTAGATTTGATTACCTTTCCAAAATCTCGGACATCAAAGAGATCGAAGGCATCAAACAGTTCACTCTTCTTCATCCCAAATGCTTCGCAGCATGCAGACAAGAACGTACGAATATTCTTCAGGCAGAGGAACTGATAAAGCAAAAAAAACAAGATTCTGTTAACATTTTTAAAGGTTTTGTTTTTGCACACCTAGTGAAAAATAAATATACTAAAATGCATTTAAAATACATTTATTTCATGCTAAGTCTACTACAAATACATTTACATATTTAGGTACTTTAAAAAAAACTGCAATTGCACTTTTATTATACTAAACTGGTCTACTTCATTTCTGCTAAATTGGAAAAACTATTTTTGTACTTAATGCACTTTAATTGTGCAGAAGTAGTGCTGAAGTACTAAAGATATACTGAAGTATATTTGATTGTGCTAAAGTGGAACTAGGCTATTGCAGTACTTCAGGTACACTTTAAATATCTCACGTTTAAAGAAGAATAATATTATTCAAAAATCATACGATCCTCATCAATAGTGACACTAAAACACATTTTAGGCTTAATATTAAGAAATGTGCATTGTAGTACTCCAAATAAAGTTTATTAATAATTTTTATATCAGTAAGTTAATAGATTTGAACTTTACTTTATTTAACTATTACTTTTTAAACTAGGGACACTTTTTTTGTACATATCTTTTGTGGGGGGGGGGGGGGGAAAAAGATTAAAAAAAAAAAAGAAAATTAAAATGCCGGTAAAAA